CCTTCTCTTATAATCCTGTTGATCAAGTCTGCGCTCCTCTGTACGTCGTCGCTTTATCACCTGAAAACACAAACGTGAGCTAGCCGGCGGGTGTATGCCGGAAACCCCTCCGATGCCTAAGTCAGCAAATTTGACAAATAGACAAAGCTCTGTGTATTCAGAAAGCAAAGTTGTGTGTTACCTCTCCAAAGGTGATGTTTGTGAGCTTTTATAGGTTTCGTGTGGCACAATCCTAGTAGGACTTCTATTCCTCCATGCAGAGTCCTCCTAGGATTTAACCTCCTGAAGGATAATCCTTATCCTCCAACACCTCCCTCACTGCTTAAACCAAGTGAGATGGTTATTACCATGGCCGGACTCCAACATGACCGAAGTAATCATAGCTATGCTGAGCCGTAGAGTAGGCCGAACTATCCTTAGTTCGGTTCTTCCTTTTACTCCTCCTTATCTCGGCGCTCTTATGCACAAACCATGGTATGTTTAGACCGAGCTACCGAGTAGCAAGGTTCTGACCGTTCTAAACTCAATACGTCATGACCGGACTAACTCTGAGACCGGCTTAACTCCAAGTCGCTTCTGGACCGGAGTAACTTCACATTTCTCTCGGGCTGGAGTAATCTTCTACCTCTCTTGGGCCGGAGTAATTTTACGGTCTTTTTACCCAGCCCTTCGTACTTTGGGCAATAATGACCATCTCATAACTCGGCCCAATTTTTACCAAAATTACCCTCTCAAAAGATTAAGAGCTTCTTATAAGCTAGCATTCCTTTGGAAAACGACTTTGAAACTTTCTTAAGCAAAAAGCATTTATAATGAGTCCTAAATGAAAAAAAAAGAAAAAGATAAAGAGAGAGTAAGGAATAACTAATACAATCTTCTCATGAAATTATTATAAGTATTAGGCCCGTTTAGTGGCGTTTATATTTATTATTATTTTTGTTTATGTTTATATAAAAATTTTAAAACTAAATTATTTTTAGTGTCTATTAAAAAAAAAATTAAAAATTTTTTGTAATTGAAATAAATTACCAATAATTTCATTTGAAATGAAAAATGAAATTATTTCATAACACGTGTAATTTTTACATTACTTTTTTTTTGACTTTTTACAAGTTTACTTAAATTATATTAAAGATTTTGAAATATTTCTCAGTTATTCCACTCAATTTCATGATTTTTTTTTTTTTAATCTCTACTCACGAGCTTCTTATAAAAAATAAAGAAAAAGTAACATCATAAAAATTAACAATTAAATATTTTTTTTACTCAATGTTTTGATACTTACAATATTATTAAAATAGATTTTGTTTCGAATGTTTAAAATTTTATTATTGCATAAAGTCATTTCTTAATAAAAAAATATATATATACACATAGGAAAATGTCTCGTAACTTAAATTTTGTGGCTCAAAAGTGGTTCAAATGACCAAAACGACATCGTTTTGGCCATTTTTATGTTGTTCTATATTCAAAATGATATTATTTTGACCATTTGAATCACTTTTAAATCACAAAATTTAAGTTACGTAACATTGTCGATACACATAAATATGGTCGGAGACCACTAAACTAGAATTGAGAAACAAATGAAAGAAATTATCCGCGTATTTGACACATCCAAATGAAGTGGCAGCTGAGCCTGATTTTAAAGTCCAACAAAACAAAAGTAACTTAAACACACGCGTCCAGTCAACATTCTCCCCCCTCATTTCCTCTCTCTTTCTCTCTCCCTCTCCCTCACTTGTGACTGCGTCTCTTCGCCTCTATATATACCCATCCCCAATACTAAGACCATCATCATCATCTACTCTTGCTACAAGAAGCTAAATCAACCAACACTCCATAGTTCACAAGTGAAATTCACTATACACATACACATATATAAACCTACGATTATTATTGTCATAAATATACAATCAATTATGGGAAATTGCAAATCCTGTATCTCTGTACAGCCCCAAACAGAAGCGATCCTCATCGACGCTTCTGGAATTCTCAAACAAATCAAACTCCCAATCACAGCCGCCGAGATCATGCTCGATGAGCCCGGCCACGTCGTATCGCAGGCGATGCAGATCCGCCGAACTCGTCGGATTCCGGCAATGAAAGCCGACGAGGAATTGTCTCCGGCGAAGGTTTACTTGCTGGTTCCGGCTAGTAGGATCAACTCGGTGGTCTCGGAATCGGAGATGGCGCGGATTGACTCGGCCTGTGAGAAGAGGCGGCCCAAACGACGCAGTTCCAAGGTTTTGCCGACGGAGACTGAGGGGTCCAGTGACAAAGTTGAAGAAGGTTCGCTTCCGGTTTTTCAAGGAAATGATACCGGCTTTACCGGTCAGCGGTTGGGGAAGGGGAACTCGTACCGACAGTGGAGGCCAGCTCTTGAGCCTATTTCTGAGGGAATTTGAGAACCACGTGGAGATCCCCACAACTTGCCACGCATTGTGGGACCAAATGTTTGCTGACGTGGCAAGAATTGTACAGTTGAAGATTTGTGATTATTTTTTTAGATCGTAAAAAAAGAAAAAAGAAAAAAGACGAAAAAAAAACAACACAACAAGTGGCCATGTACCTTTTAATTTAATTTATTTTGAAGATTCATTCATTTGTTAATCGTGTATATAATGAAAGCAAGAGTTTTACTGGTTAAAGTATGAAATTTGTTTTGACTTCTTGAAAGTATGAAAATTGTTGCTCATAAAATGAGGATGCCATATATTTTCAAGAAAAAATTACTCATTAGGGTACTTTTTCAAAAAAGAAAAAAAAAATTAAAAAAAAAACTATACATATTAATAATTTAATTTATAATTTTTTTTATTATTTTAAAAATATTTTGTAAAAACATCACTGGAGTACAATTTTTCCCTTTTTTCAACAAGTTTTTTTTTTTTCTCTAAAATCTTTTTGTATTACTATATTCACGCTGGGGTACAATGAATCAAAATAGAACAGTGACAAAATTGAACCGATGAAACATAGGACTCATGTCACCATTGGGGTGGTGGTGGTGCGGAAAGGTATTGGCCTTCCATACAGGTGAGTAAGGCTAGAATCTTGAAGACACAATTAGCGTTTTATTAATTTGGTGAAGCTAATTGCATTGTTTTTTGCTTGTGACTCAATTTCCTATATTGGTTGTTAATGCATTCTCCGCTTATCTTAGTGGCGAGTCATTTTCTTTGAATTGGAATAAATCTGGCCATAATACCGGAGGTTAAGGGTTGTAATGATACTTTCAAGGAGCACCCATTTTTCTTTATTAAAAAAAAAAAAAAAAAAAACTATTGTAATGTCATGCTTCAAAGTGTGGCATAATGATAGATAAATAAATGTCGGCACAACATCCAGGGGAGAAGTGATTTTAGGATTCCAATATTCCTTTGTTGACATTTAGGCTCTTTGACATTTTTAAATTTTCTATTCCATTATTACCTCAATTTAGCATGGTTAGGGGAGCCAACAATTGCAATAGTACTGCTCAATTTAATTGATTGAGTTTTCAAAACAAGTTTTTAAAAAGAATTTCAAAAACTAGTTTTGTAAAATAATAAAAAAAAACACTTAATATATTTTTTCCCCTTTTTTTGGGGACAACAATAATTTTTGAAAATTTAAAAACATTTTTTAATATTTATAGTTGTCAAACTAATTTCTAATCTTTGGAAAAATAATTAAAAAATAAAATTTAAAAACTTAACCAAATGGAGTTAATTAATTTTTTTTCCCCTCAAAGCAATTAACCCAAGTATTTAGTTTCTTAATACTCGTATAGAGACATGAAATCAACTATATATATATATATATATATATTACTTCTTTATCCTTTTCATGGTGTTTTTGTGAAGTTCATAGTGATTGAATTAAGAAGAAGAAGATTATTGCGGTCATGAAATGAGTTGTTGGAGAATCAAACAAATTTTTAATACCGACTAATAAAAAACAGTTTAGGAACTATTTTACATGAAAACCAAAACAAATAAGAATTACTAACTTAAAAATGTATATGTTGAACCTTATGTTGGCTCAATGCTAATGAAAATCGTTATCCCTTCCACAATGACTCCTCAATTCGGATAAATTTGGGTTTCAAGTAATTCAACGCGATAACTAATAAGAGACAAATTATTGTCCAAGCAAGGTATAATTTTTATAAGTCAGAAGCTAACTTTTTCTAAAATTGTTCACAAACTAGTAAAAAACAACAAACAAACAAATAAAGAAAGAAAGAAAGAAGGAAACCAGTAGAAAGATCATACGGAACATAAGCCTCAATCTTAGAAGACCCTTTAATTATTAGTGAATATCAATTCACCATCTCATTTATAAATCTATACATTTTGACCACTTATAATAATGCCTCACTTTCTCCTCTCTAGAAGGGAGCGTTTTATAAATTTTTTATAGTTTAGAGTTTCAAAGTGTACGACTTTATAAATAACAGAATAAATTAATATTTATTAATACTCCAGATGAAAGGCGTGTTAATGCAATTAAAGTTGATTACAAAGGTTGCTGCACGACCAAAAAAAAAAAAAAAAGAAAAAAAGAAAAAAGAAAAATAATAATAAACAAATAATCTAACTACAACTACTTAGGTAATTTCAATGGTGGTATTAAATACACCAATTAGTATACTAACAAGTGTACCAACATTAGTTATGACATTATTATTGACCACACTCATTATACAAATTATAAATACTAAAAATCTTTTAAATTATGTCATATTATCAATTGATACACTAATTGATACATATAATATTATTCTAACTTCAAAGTTGGATCATCTGAGAGATATAACAAACACTAGTTACTATCTTGCTCACGTTAAGACGTTAGGATAATATAGTTGAACGGTTCCTAATTCCTTGACTTCCTCTTTCTCGGTAGGTTAGACTACGGAGTCCAACGGTTATCCATGCTCAACTGGTGTTTTACTGAGATTTATCATTTTATGCTGGGAATTGAGGAAATGTTGTGGCGGAAACATGAGATAATAATAATTTTAGAATTCGTTGATTGAAAATTAATACCAAAAACAATTTTTTATTCACAAAAAAATATCGAATAATTGCTAAATCTCAAAGAATATTCAAAATTAAAACAAAAGATATTAATTAAAAGGAAACAACCATAATTGATAGATTTTAAAAATCAAAATATATTAATTCTCAAAAAATTAAATAGTTCTAAGGCTTACATTCATTATTTATAAGTAAAAACAAACCTAATTTAGAAGGAAACAATCAAAATTGACAGTTTCATAATAAGTAATACATAAATAAAGAAATATAATGAAAATTACTAAAAATAGAAATATTGTAATAAAATAAAGAAACTATCAATATATACTTACGCGATAATGACAAATTTTAGAGGATCAAATTCTAAGGTTAATGCGAGGAGTAATTGAAGTTTCAAAGGTTTAAAAAAATGATCAATTTGCAAAATTGACCACCCAAACGATAGAATTTGTCCATAATCCACTGGGTCTTGGAAATTCCATGGATCATGCTTTTTACATTTTCAATCAACCTATTAAATTTTACAAAATTTCAAGTCTGGCTCATTTTTTTTCCCTTGTCTTGTCTATTCCTTTAATTCAAGAATTATATGGCTATGCATGTTATATAAGAAAATAACGAAGATCATAACATTATTTATTTGCTTGACACAATCAAATTCTGATACCATGTTAATTATTTGTTAACTATAAATTCATCTAAAAATTTAAGTTAGGTAGACAAAAATGTAATTTTTATTATTTATATACCCTCAACTGTTGCATCACAGGCCATTGGATTAGTTTGCCTGAGAGGAGCAGGTCAAAGGAGTAAAAAGAGTGTTCAGATGAAAGAAAGCCAACAAACTAACCAAACTCCCCCATGGAAATGTCATTAGTTATATATATATATTACCAAGTCTTTTCCGATGTACCGAAAATATATATATATAGTACATATATTACCAAGTCCACCATGAACCCATTACATCTATCACAAGATGGAACAGTTTAACGAACACTTCCAATTTCCCTCCCACACACTCTACCTTTAAATAAAATGCACCAACAACCCAAACCCAATATCATTCACTTCACATCTCCTCACCTCCCCTGTTTCTCTTTCCCCTTGCTCATTTTCTCATCCAAGTCATGGGCAATTACATCTGTCACTCCCCATCGGGCTCTGCCGGTAAGGTAGTTTTATCGGATGGCACGGTTCATGAGTTCAACGTGCCTTTAACAGTTGCAGAGCTCATGCTAGAGCACCCTCAACAGGTGGTGGTGGAGTTTGAGTCAGCTGTGAATGGTAAAAGGCCGAGTCCATTGCCTGCTGACAAGAAACTAGACATGGACAAGGTTTACCTCATGCTTCCCATGAGAAGAGGGAAGCAACCAGCATTGTCATCGGAGGAAGCCCGGCAGCTGCTTGCTGTTGCTAACTCTGTTTCGAATCGTAGGTCTTTTTTGTCGCTGACGACTGGATTTCTTCCATTGTTTGCACGGATATGCAGCGGAGGATCAAGAGAGGGAGGGGGGTTTGTGTCGGGTGGGAAAGAAAACTCAGTGGGGAGGAGGGGAGAGACGACGAAAGTTGAGTATTTGCCGGAAATTTTAGAAGGAAGGCCGGAATATTTAAGCAAGCAATTTTCCGGGAAAGGGTGGAAGCCCAGTTTGGATACCATCAAGGAGAAGATTGTCAAGAAAAAGGTCCCTCATTGGCTGCTCTAAGCTAGTTGTATAGAATCAGGTTTTCTACGTGCACAAAATTCAATTACAATATCAGATGGTGAGACTCACACATCGAGAGAATCTTTGTGTCCGGTTTTGTGCACTTAGAATTTTTCTGATCAAATACTATTGAAAGCTTGATTGTGAAGGCAATCTATGTAGATGGTATGGTTAAGTTTTTTTTTTTTTTTTTTTTTGAACAGGTAGGGTTGAGTCTTGGGGATTCAATTCTTACTGTTTTTTGTTTTTTTAAATGTTAGTGTCGCCAATAGTCAAAGTTTAGATATGCTACCATGTCTGGTGTGGACAGTGTGTGGAAGGGTTGTAGTAGTGATATATGCGTTTTTATTTTGTATTTTGTACTTTGTGTAATGAGGTGAAGAGTAAAACCAAAGTTGTTGTATTTGTCATAGTTTGGGTAAAGTATTTAGATATGTTCAACTAAAGTGTACGAGTTGTTACCAAAAGCCTTTGAATTGGTAATACGTAGTTTGGTTAACAATTGTACACAGAGAAAGACTAATAGACACATTGTTTGCTATAGAGATGTCAGGGCAGATAGTGCTTCTTTACCAATTCATTGATTCTTGATGTTTTAATAGTAATTTATTTCTTAAAAATTAATTCTATGTGGCATCAGCAAAGTAAACTTTGGGGGATGATCTAAATAACTCACAAGAATTCCGCTAGGTCAAAGTTGATAACCAATACAAATTGGCTGTGACCACAATTTGCTTAATAACTATGGAGACACATCTCAAACCACACTTTTTCATGTCTCTAATTTTTTAATAGATTTCATACAATATTGTCGGGTGGGATTTAGGATGTATTTCTAATTTTTTGTAGGTTTGTTTATTTATTTATGGCTTTTTTTAGTTGGGTTCATTTTTGTTTTTAGTGATAATTTTTTTAAATATATATATATGACAGTGCTAGGTATGTCACAGAAATATAACACAAAATGGTCTAGTATTTTCATACAAAATTTTGAGGGATGAAGCTCCACATTATTCTCATATGTTTTAAAGAAGAATGTGTGTGATTAATGTTAAAAAAAAAAAAAAACAGCATCCAATCATGTCATAAAATAAACCTTCAACGTGTGTGAATATTGGAAAACGGCCTAAAATTTTCTAATTTGACGGATTTTTTTTTGTTAATTTTAAAAAAGACCTACACACAATTAAAAAAAAAAAAGAGAGAAAAAAAAGCTTCCACCCATGAACGTAATACATGTAATACACACTACAACATATAAGAGTTTTACAAACTAAATTTTTTAGTCTTTAAAAATGAAAATTTTGTTGCAAAAGACATTTAGAGATTAATTTCTATTGTCGTAAGGATAGTCGTTAAAAGGTCGTCCCGAAAAGTAAAAAATAAGGCTTTTAGCAACAAAATTTTGAAAATGTCATTAATAAATAGATTTTTAGGGACAAAATAATTTGGTTTTAAAATGATTTATTTTATGAGATAAAAAATTGTTCTAAAATGATAATAATTTATTACTAATGTCCAATTTTTGTTATTAAAAATATAATGACGACACTTTTCGTAATAAAAATATTTAGTTTCTAAAAAATAATTATGTCCCTAAATTTTGGTTTCTAAAATTTTAATTTTTTATAGTGACATATTGGGAAAAAGGTTTCCGCTAGTTTGGTATATGTTTGTAGTCTATATTGAAAATCTCATATAATTTCAAAAAGGGTTGGACTGCCCTTCAATCTGTGATCGGATTAGAGAATATTGTTGGACTCGTGAGAACTCACCATGGGTTTCGTTTCGATAATCTGAATCGTTCAATGTGTAGAATTCGTTGAGTACTATATGACTATAAAAACTCAAGTAAATCGGATATCGATACCTATTTTATCGGATCAGATTTCTGTCAACTGTTTATTTTTTCACCGTTTATTTTTTTTTTATACAAAACTAATTTAATTACGTAACTATCAATATCCGATCAACGTAATTTTTTTTACAAATATATAGTACTCGCAGGCCTGGCTCTGGCCATAGGCCCACAAGGCCATGGCTTAGGGCCCCTCAAAATAGGCCCAAAATAGGGGCCCCTCCTATTATAAGTTAGTATAATATATTGGGTATGTTTTAAATCTAAAATAAATTTAAAAAGGCTTAAATTAACTTAATTTTTTTGACCCATTAAAAAGCCAATAGTTAAGGCCCAGCCCAATCATTTGAAAGACCCATTTTTTCTAATTCCTAACCATATATTCTATTAATCCAACATTCCCTACATTTGTTTGACATAGCACACACCAGCGGCATAGGGATGGAGTAGCAGAACAGGTAAATTTTTTATTTATTTATTTATTTTCTATTCAATTAATTAAATATTTATCTTGTTTTTTGCACAATTAATTACTATTATAATGTTGGTATTTACATCATTAAGAAGAATTTATTTAAGTTTAATAGTTCATATCATATAATTTAAAAGTTTTGTGTTTTGTTAAGTGGGGTGCTCTTGTTTTGAATTTTGATTTAAAAAAATATTTTGATCTCAGCACAACAAGCACACGTAATTTTTTTTTTCTATTCAATTAATTAATTTTTTTTTCTAAGTATTTTTTATGATTTTAATATAAATCTTTTGTCCTTTACCTTAAATTTTTTTTTCATTCAATAAAAAAAAATGTGAAGGGCCCCAGAAATTTAGCAGTTGATTATCGGCTTTGGGCCCTGAAAATCTCAGAACCGAGCCTGAGTACTCGATGAGTTCTATACATTAACAGTTTAGATTATCAAAACAGGACCAATAATAAACTCTCACAGATCTAACAATACCCTCCTATCTAATCTTTAACAATACCCTTTGAAAAGTATCCAATCTGTCAGTTTAAGAAGAACGCCACTTTAAAAAAAACGCCTTCATCAATTTAGTGCCATTTTGAGAACATAGCAAAAAGTCACGTTTTTGGACAAAAAGTCATGTGTCTGCAAATTGAGCCTTCAATTTTCGCATTTTCTTCCCTTTACCATAGTTTTCTTCACTTTGAATCTACAAATACTAATAGATCACAATAGTTGAACTTATTTCTATTAAGTTTTGTTAAAAATAAGTTATAATAAAATCGTCACTAAAAATAATTTTTTGTGTCGACTTTTTACATATGTTGCTAAAAATTAATAATTAGTCACTTTTTTTGTCACAATTTTTATAAATTTTCGATAAAACTTACAATTAGTGACTTTTTATGTGTCAAAATTTTCAAATTGTCACTGAAAGTTAAAAATTAATAACTTTCTTTGTGATAATTTTTTAAAATTGTCATTAAAACTTATAGTTAGTGACAAAATTTTCAAACTGTTGCTAAAAATTAACAATTAGTGACGTCTTTTAATAGTGTTTGATGAAAATACTATTAATTATCATAGGACCTATTGAACAATAAATATACTTATTAAGATTTATACGTAAGATCCCTTACTATTTATTGAGGCCTCATTTGGGAAGTTGGTTATTTTAGTTTTTGGTTATTTTAGTAGGTTAAAATATTTATATTTGGAAAGATAGTTAGATTTTTTTTATAATTATATGTGATATTTGTGAGAGAAAAAGTAAAATGATTATGTGTTTGATGTGATATTTTGCATTATTGACTATTTTAACCTATTACCTTTTGGATACTCTCAAAAGTTCACTATGTATTTTTTTTCTTCATTTTTCTCTGTGCATTCATTCTTCTCTGCCTCTTTCTTTTTTTGATTTCCGGCGATCAGCGACCACGCCTTACTTCTTTTCTTTTTTTTTTTAATATATAGTTACCGACAATCGATGACCACCATTGATTGGAATTCACTGGCAACCAGCGCCCATTGACTCCTTATTTCATGTTTACTGACGGCAAAAGAAATGAATTTTCGGCGAATAAGATGAGTAGATCTATTCAAATCTTATTAGAACTACGTAAATCTACATGAGATCCGACTAGATCTAAACCAAAAATAGTTGTCGAAGTACAAACTTCTCTCATATCTGTTTCTTTCCTTCGATCTCTCAATTTTTTTTACTTTTTTTGCACTATACATTTCAATTTTCTTGTTTTAATAGAGAAAATTTTCAAATTCTGAATAAGTTACTTTCGAGTTTATTTTATAGGTAGTGAAAACTGTAAAATTTTACAGTTTTAGTTTTTTTGGTATTAAAATTAATCGTACTTTAAAACTGTAAAATTTTACAGTTTCAAAGTATAATTTTATTAAGTATTTATTCTTATTAATCAAGCTGAAAAATATGTTATAAAACTGTAAAATTTTACAAATCTAAAGAATGTTATGAAACTGTAATATTTTACAGTTTTAAAGCTTACTTTTCAATTAGATCAATATTAGAGATTATTTGCGTAAATCCTAAAAAAATTAAAAAATAATATATTTTTTTTCCCATTGTTGTTGTTTGTTGTTGTTATATATATTTCTTTTAGTTTATCAATGTTCAGTATATTTTGTTATGTTTTTTTAACTATAATTTCTCCATTTATTCTTTTTTTTTTCCCGATAATATTCTGAACATTCTAGTGAGCCTTCAACAATATTCTGGTCATTTTGGCGACTTCCAGTGACGTTCAGAACACTCTGGCGATACTCCGGTGAACTTCCGACGATTCTCTAGCGACTTCCTGGTGATGTTGAACATTTTGACGAGTCTCCGATGAATATCTAATGGAAGTCCAATGTTGATAGGATATAGCAATGTTTTTAAATTTATAAAAAAAAATAATTTTTTGATAACAATTTAAAATATGTAGGACTAATTGTTGAAAGTGTTTTGTTTTGAGACTAAATGAATTTTGAATTTTGTGTATCGGACTTAAGTACCCTTTTATCTTTTTATAAATTTCAATTCAAAAGGTTAAAAAAAAACCCTTTGCCAAATAAGGCATGAGTATAGCTTATGCTTTTAATTTCTTATCGTTTCATACTTTTGTGAAAGCTTTATAAATCATGTAGATGAGTTGGGTCGGGCTTTGACTCAGATTGGGACATCTAGACGAACAAATTCAAGAAGCCCAAAACCAATTTATTGGTACAGTGCTTTTTTGTTTGTGGAGAGTAGAACTCCAAATGCCCTTCTTGGACTGTATGGACTTGAAACCCTGAAGAATGGAGAGAAACATTCATGAAGCGAATTTTGGGTCAATGGTTTATATATATATATATATATATATTTTAACGATATGTTGGAGGAGTAATTAGGCGTCTATGAAATAAATATTAAAAATTTAGAGAGACTTTATAGGTATTGTAAAAATACTTAAGAAATAGAACGATAGTAGAATATATAAAAAAAAATTTAAGTTCGACTCTTAGGGTCAGTTCACAAGAAATTAATTTCTAGTGAGTTTTTTAGTTTTTGTGTGGATGGTTTACTTTTAACCAAACTAGAGAGGAGATTAGTCAAGCATGTCTTACGTTGAACCAAAAATAAAAAAGACTCGGGAGGGCCATTCGTGGTTCCCTTGACCTTCCCATACCTTCACC